ATGTTAATAAAATAATTTTTAAAAAAAGTTACTTGAGCCCGTTGAAATGGAGTGACCTGCCACTTGCTACTTATCCCTTCCAGAGAACATCCCTTCCAGGCCTAAAGAGGCCATGTCCTCAGAACAGGGGCAAATCCCCCCACCCACCCCAACACACACATAAAAAACCATGATTTCTACATCATCTATTTACAATTGAATGGATTTGAGAAGGATCAAGTAGACTTCCCATCTCGTTTTGGATCTGTTCTTCAAGAAGACAGCACATTACCAAATATAAGCAAAATGTTAAGGAAGGATACACTTCTGAAGGTACCTACCATCTGCCCAGCCTACCAGACCTCTTCAGAGTTCTGTGCTGCACAAAATGACAATACCGCTTTTAAGTGTCCAGAACCTTCCATACCACCTCCACCCAGCACATTGCCCCGGGGTATAGCATTAATGCTACAGCAAGGCTTTTAGTGTGCTCCTCTGTGTCACTTTCCACTTGTCTTCCACAAGACACTAATGTTCCTTTATCCCCTAAGATCTTTTTTCCTCCATCTGCCTTTCCTCCCATATTATTTTTTCCAACTTTTTGTGTAAGTTAAGAGTGGGGTAGAGCTACTGTGCTTTCTTTCCTCTTCTGTGCAGGGAGGCTGTTTTGTTTGTGCCAGGTGTAAGTGATGATCACCTCCAGCAAGAGGGCACAATTTACAGATGATTGTAACAATCCTGACACCACATTTCATGGAGTTTAGTGGTTTCCCTTGAAGCACTACCACAGCAAATTGCCTTATTCCCATGCCTGATTTAAAAGAGCACACCTGGGACGCCTGCCTGGGTGGCCCAGTGGGTTGAGCCTCTGCCTTCGGCTCAAACTCAGGTCGTGTTCTCAGGGTCCTGGGATCGAGGCCCGCACTGGGCTCTCTGTTCAGCGGGGAGCCTGCTTCCCCCTCTCTCTCTCTCTGCCTGCTGCTCTGCCTACTTGTGATCTATCAAATAAATAAATAAAATCTTTTAAAAAAAAAGAATTACAATTCTTAAAATTCTGCATTTGCCATTGAGTAATATGTTAGCCATCTCTGGAGAGAACACCTACTTCAGGTTAAAGGGCATCTCTTAACTTGTCTCTGCATCGTTAACCCTTCTGTGTACAACTCCAAGCTGGGAGGAAGAGCAGTAACTTCGGGCACTAGCAACTCAGCCAGGAAGTCCCTCTCTCTCAGGCCAGAGTAAAATGGTTTGGGCCTCCCTGACACCTCCAGAGGAACTTGGGAGAGTCTTGATGGGGACTGATCTTTAAAACATGCCAAAGACTGAAGGTGAACCAGCATTTAAATATGTCCTTGTTTCAGAAAAGAGAATGGCTGCTGTTGGCCAAAGGGGAGCCCCTGAGCAGAGGACACAGCCTGAGGCAGCCTGCCAGCACCTTCTATGTGATTGTGCCATCACGCTCCCCCACTCTGCTGGTGAAGGCAGTGGCCACACGGGAACTGATGCTGCCCAGCCCCTTCCCGAGGCTGCCTGAGGACCCACCTGATGACAGCCTTAAGATTGTGGAGGCAAGTGGAGCTCAGATCTCATGGGACAGACAGAGGGAGAGAAGAGTTGGGGGTCAGAGAAAGGGATGAGGGAGAGGAGCGAGCCTGTGGGGGAAAGGACTGGTGTGCAGAGGGAGAAGTGGTTTTGCCAAGAAGGTGGCGGAAGGTCAGTAATGTGATGTGTGTCTGTGTGATATTGTGTTCCCACCGGTCTTTCTCTGCATTGTGTGTGTGCAGAGGTGGTGTACCTGTTTGTGAGCATCTATTTTTGTTAAGGAAAAGATAGCCAATGCAGGATAGGAAGGGCTTCAAAATGAGACACCCAGGCAAGAGGGAACTGTGCTGCTGGCTATTTTCTCCCCCTTCTCTCAGTCCTTCCCCTCCTCCTCCTCTCTTCCTTGGACCTGGATTCTGGATTTCCTCTGCCAGCATCCCTGGGTTGAGGGCGGAAGGAGGGGCTCTGGGCAGGGAGAACTGGAACCACATCACTGCTGGATCGCTGGCTTACGTGCAGAGAGGACAGAGCCTGGGATTGTGTTCTTGCCTTGGCGGCCATGGGCATACAGAGAGAGGTGGGCATGAGTGGCCGTGGCTCGCTCAGCGTCTCACTTCAGGGCCAGTGGTTCCTGGCACAGGATGTTGTGGCCGGAAAACCTGACTGCTCAGGAATGCTGCGCTTGTGTGTCCTCAGGCTGTGCTCACCTCGCAAGCCAGGCAGAGAACTCAGTGTACTCACCGGGCAGACTGGGAGCACCCCCAGGCCTCGGACACTGCCTCGCTCACAGCCGTGCTCACTGGCTCCCTTGTAACCCTCACAGCACTCCAACCCCTCTCTCAGGATCCCATGACACACTTCTTGGGGCCAGAGTACATCCTGTCCCTAACTATTCAATGTTGCACTCTTGCAGGAACTGTACGTCGTCACAAGCACTCAGATCTGGGAGCCAGGACACCCAATGGGACCCACATCTATTTCAGTCCTCAGTGAAGGGCTGGGTCTTCACACATCCTCCAGCTTCTCACACTCCCAAGATCTCTGCCTGACATCTTGTGTTCTGTGACTTCAAGTTCCCTGGGTAAGGCTGCTCTTCTCTCTTCCTCAGAGCTTGCTGGACAACCTGGAACTAGAGCCCTCTTACAACCCCTTGCAGGCTTGGAGCCATCTATACTCACACCTGAGCAGCACCTTCATCAAGCCTCAGGGCCGGCTCCACCCAAGCTGGGAGAGCCAGGCCCTGAGAAAGGTATGGCTCCCTCCCTACTACCCTTCCTCCCCACGATGCCCAGAATCCCAGGGAGCCCTCCTACCCTGTCCCCAACTTCCTGGATCTCCCCTGGTGGAGGGGAGAACCAAGCCAACAGGAGAAGAACAGCGCTTTACCCTAGACAAAGGAAATTAGAACCCCTGCCCGATAGGGACTGCTTTTCTGCCTGGCACTGGGTGTTTACATATGGTAATGTTTAGTTATCTTAACTGTAGCACTTATGATAACTCATTAGTCATTTAACAGACCATTTTCCCACTAAGCAAACTGACAGCACTGAGACCACAGCTTCTGTTTAAAGAAAAGGTTAAATGGAAGGTGGAAAAAGAAATGTCCAAAGGGAAGGAAATTAGCATTTACTGAATACCAGCCATTTACCAGGTTTTGTGACAAGTGCTTTCACATGTGTCTTTCTCATTTAATCCTCACAGCGTCCCTGCAAGGTAAGTATTAATGCTTGTTTTACCGATGAGGAAATGGAGGCTGACCAAGGTTAGTTAACTAGATTCAGGGTTTTAGCAATGAAGGTTAAAGAGAGAAAAGGAATTGAGGGTGGAGTTATTTTTCTGAAATTCATATTCTATAATATTTCCCTTTGCCCCAATTATCTTTTCCTAGTTTCTCAGAACAGAGACTTTAGAAACTCCTCCTTTGCCTTAGCTGAAGTTACAAGAGAAAGAGCTTTCCAACTATAGTCAGTCTAGAGATGGGAGCAGAACCCACCGTGAGTTAGCTGGTAGGCAAACCAACAGAGGAGGGACCCTCAGCCAGGAGATGGGCACTGTGGAGAGGAGCCCAGGGGACTCAACTTCCCTGGGGGTTGAGGCTGTCACTCATGGAGCATGGGAAGGAATTAGGACATGAGACCGGACAGGGAACAGGATAGGATATCAGGAACTGTGGTCTGGGCTTCAGAGAAGTCTGCTTGCTTTCTTTGCAGGCTGGGCAGTTACAGACAAACCGAGTTCGAGCCACAGTGGCCCCCCTGCCTATGACTCCAACCCCTGGGAGAGCCCCCCAGATGCCAGCAGCCAGCAAGTCTTCCTCAGAAGCCTTCTTCTGGCCTTCTAAGGAGGAAGCGGGGAAAGAGAATGAGGAGGAGTATTCCTGGGGACCCTGAGTCCCCAGCACCAGAAACCCCTGCCCTGCTCAACCACAGCCATACGAAGGCTCATACAGTGAATGGCTTTCTGTGGTCAGACTTGCTTTCTGTGCACTTGAGCCTCCATGAGCTCCAGATGACTGGGAAACAGAGCCTTCCCCTCCTCTGTCTTCAGTGCTGCCACCACCCCCGCCCCACCACTCAGGCCCAGAAGAGACACACCTGAACATTTTCCTTCTCCAAGCAGAAGTTCATTTTCTTTTGGATCATTTGATACCTTTAACGCAGATGAAGATTAAATACCCAGTAAGTCTCCACTATTGTTAGGAGCATTCCCAGCCCCGAATTTCTCCTTGTAATTCCCTGTTAGCAAGTAGATGAGGTCAGGTCAACTTCAGGAAACTGGAGCTCAGGAGGCAAGGACAAGGTTTTCAGAGCTCATGAAAAATAAGTACAATTGAAATTTAAGCCTCATTCTGAAGCCTGTGCTCTTCCCACTACACCCACCACATAGCAGTTCCCTTCAACCTTCAAAGAGAAAAATGGTTGGTGCTTGAGTACTTATAGGTAAAATGTGTGTGCATGTGTGCATATGTATATGAGCGCATGTATGTGTATTTTTGTGTGTTGGGGCAGGTGGTGTCATATAGCTGAGAACAGGGAGGAAAGATGGTGTGAAAAAGAGCTATTCCCTTCCTATTCTCCTCTCTCCATGCCTGTCCACCTTTCTGTTGACCCTCCCCATCCATGGAATAACCACTGTTTATAAATGCTTAATCTGTGCTTCAGACTGCACTAAGTACTTGAGAAACTTAACTCCTTTCACACAAACAACGCTGTGAAGTAGAGTCTGTTGTTGGATTTCCCATTTTACAGAGGGGCATTGAGAGAAACTGAGGGTGAGAGATGTTATACAACTCAGCCAGCGTCCCAGAAACAGGCTGTAGCCCAAGTGGGCCTGACTGGACCACCCAGGCTCTCACCCACCACACTGCTCAACTCACCTCCCTGGGACCCCTTCTTCCTTCTTTGGTACATTCTGGCCCCTCCACACCCACCCAGCACACCCTGCCAGCATGCCCCTCTGTGACTATTCACACACACAGACCTCTTAAACCCAAGCTGACTTTAATGAGAATAAACTTCTTAAAATCTAGGTCTCTGGAAAAGAATAATGCAGGGGTGAGGATCCGGGCACAGTCCAGCATCACCCTAGAGCCTCCATGCAGGCCCCTCTAACTGCACCAACTCAGACCAAGCACCCCTTTTCACAGACCTAGTCCAGCAGCTGTCCATTCCTTTGGGGAGGATAACTTGGGGGTGCTGGTCTCTCCCGGGTCCCATCCCTCACCCCTGCCAACTGTCCCACTTCCAGGACTTCTTGAGATTGAACATCCTCCCCTTGACTCCCCTGATCCCTCCATTCCCCTGGCTGGCTTACACAGGACCCGCCAGCCTTCTGGTCCCTGCAGATTCTAATAGGTTTCTTTGATCCCCAGTGCCACCTTCCTATGGTGGTCCTATCAGCAACCCCAGCCTTGCCCCATCTGTCATGTGGAGCCCTCTGACTTGACCCCCGTCCTGTCAGCCCCTGTTCTAGACAGCTCACAGTCCCAGCTCCCTGAGGCTCTGCTCTTCTGGACCTGGCTGTACAGGACAGTGTCTGAGCTGTGGCCTTTGCTGCCACCACCAGCTGCAGCTCTAGGTTCAGCGAAGGCCAAGCCCCGGGGCTTGGGAGCGGGGAGGGGCTTTGTGCTCCGGGGCGGTGGCACAGCGTAGTCATCAGTGGCAGGGTTGTAGGGGAGCTCGTAGCCCTCCTCCTTCATCCGAGCCTGGCACCACCACGCATCCTTGGGCTCCTGAGGCAGATCATAAAGGCCCCGGGGTGCAGCCGGGGCCAGGCCCTCGGGTTCATCATAGATGGGGTCCTCTTTGGGGTCCATCAGTTTGGCCTTCAGCAACTGCTGCTGCACGTGCTCGTACAAGTCGCAATAAAGAGATTTCTTGAACGGTACTCCCTCCCCTGCCCGAGCAGGGGTGCTGTCCAGGGGGTCTGAGTATAGGGAATCCAGGGAAGGGCCTGGAGGAATGCGCAAGGAGTCTAAGGGTTCAGCATACACGGTGGGAGGGCTGCCCAAGAGCTCCTGGGGGCCAGACAGGGATGCCAACTTCCCCTCTGCCACTTCTCCTTCATGGGAATCGGCTTTGAGACTATCCTGCCCTTGCCCGTCCTTTCCCTGGACCTTCTGCCGGTGAATAGCAGTCTCAACTGCCTGAAAGATGTCATTCCCCTGTGCGGTCTGGAAGGTGAAGGTTCCAGGGCCCGAAGGGCAGCGGCGACCAGCCTCAAAAGAGAACATGACCTGAAGAAGATGTGGAGGAAAACACGTTACCAGGAGCCATGAAAGAAGATGAGTCACAGGGCCTGCCCTAGTATAGAGCATCTACCAAAAAAAAGACTACCTGGGGAGGGAGGTGGGGTCATGGGCTAAGCAAGGAACTATTATCCAGAGGACAGAGCTTCCTGCCTTCCAGTCCTGCCCCACCCACCCACCCCACAGCCAACCCAGAAAGTCGGTGCTCCCTGACAGCCCCCCGCACCTTGTCCCGGCCATAGCGCCGCAACAGAGTGTAAGGCCAGGAAAGAAGTGGCTCCAGTATCTGACTCTGAGCCCCCATGGTCAGGAGAGTCAGCCTCTCGGCCTCCACCCTCAGCACATAGGAGCCCTGCAGGCCACAGCGCTCAGCGGCTTCGGTCTTCTGCACTGTCACCCAGAACTGGGATCCTGGAAGGAATACACAATTAGATTGGCTGGACTAGTGGGTTAGGACGCTGGGGAGGTGGGGACAGGTTGTCCAGTCACTTGGAAACCAGCTTCAGGAGCTTCCTACCATGGGTCCCTGACCTTTCTTTATCACTCCCTTCCCAAGGACACCCTTCCTTTCCACCCCATCCCTGCCCAGGCATCTCAGGCATCTACCTTCCCAGGTGGGGCTATACAGCGAGTTCTCCAGCATCTCCAGGGCAGAAAGCTTGGGTGGGTTCTCCGCAGGCGCCAGAGCCCAGCTGCCTTTCTGGGGTAAGAACAGAGAGTATCGTGGGACCTGCAATTCCCGCACCGCTGTTCCCAGGGACCGAGCCAGCCTAGGCGCTCTGCTGCTGTAACCGCCCAACCCTGTGTCGCCTCTAGGGCCCGGTGCGTTTCGCCCCAGCCCCTCTAGCGCAGCCCGGGCCCACTCACCGGAAAGGCATTTCGGCACAGTGTTTGCACCCACGCAGCGGTGGACGGCGCGTCCGCCGCCAACAGGTGGGAGCGCTGCGCGGTGTCCAGGCGGAAAGCTGCGGCGCCAGGCTCAGGGGGGCTCTCCACTGACACGGGGACCACGCTCACACACTCCGCCAGACGAATCACCTTGCAGTCCAGGCGGCGCGAGCCCCCTCGGCCGCCTCCAGAGCTCGACCCCTTGTGGTCAAAGAACTCGAGCCGCGCTACGCCGTGGGGACTGGCAGGATAGAGTACCGCCCAGGTCTTCCTCCATCTCTGGGAAGAGAGAGAAACACTGGGGAGGGAGCGGGAGAGCACCGGCGGTCCGGGCCCGGACGCGAAAGGAGAGACCGACTCGGGCCGACTTCGGGTCTTCAGCTTCCCTACAGGGGGCGAAGTTTCCCGATAAGGATGCAGCTCAGTCTCCCCAGAACCAGAGAGGGCATACCCCGAGGCCAGCGGACCTTCTCCCGAGTGTGAAATCAACTTCGCGGGAACGTCATAGGGCTCTCCAGCTCCCGACCCGCGCTCCAACCCGCTGCCTCCCCCTCCTCCCTCTGGGCTCTACAGTCCACTCCTGAGTCTGATGGGGTTCCGCAACCCCTGCCCCCAACTACCTTAGTACCGAAACGCTGACTTTGCAAAAAGAGCGGCCCTTCCATCACGGCTCCGTCCATGGCCCCCGGCGGTTCCTTCCGCGCTTCCTGGCCCTGCGGGCTAGGGGCGGGGAGGGGGCGGGGCCGGGCCACCGGAGGCGTTCCCGCCCCTCCCCCGGCCCCCGCGGACTGCGAAGAGGGAGCAAGGAGAGCAGCGAAAAGAAAGGGGAGGGGGTCCCGAGATAAGTTGTGCGGTGCATCACCTTCAGACCCCTGCCCACAGCCCTGGGACGCGCACAAGTGGCTCTACCCCGAGAAACCTTGAGGTTTCGGTCAGAAGGCTCTGGCGCCTGGGCTTATGGGCTGCGTAGGACGTCATAGGCTCAACGTGACATCAGAGTGAGGGCCGTGACGTCACCCCGAAAATGCCAGTGGGCACCCTGGGGCACCGGAGGGACTATGCGGGTCTTCATCGCCTCAGTTCCCCTGACCGGACCCGCCCCTAGCCCGGCTGGAGTCCGGCTGTTTACACTCCGCGGAGCCCGGGACGTGGGGGAAGGGCTGGGGGCTGGGGACTGGAAGGCTTCCCGGAGCCCGGAGCTGAGCAGGGGCCGCCGCCCGGGCCGGTTTGCGGCCCCGTGGCCTCTCGCGTGTTTAGCTCCCTGACCGCAGCTGCCCGGCCTCCAACCCGCGGGAAAAGAAAGCTTCATTGAGCAGGCCGGGGAGGGTCGGCGGTGAGGGGTGGGGGGAGGTGGAGCGGCCGCCGCGGCCGCTCCACGGGGGAGGGGAGGACCAAAAGAAGAGGAGGGAACTGGCCAGGGAGGAATCGAAGGAGAAGGCGGAATGTGGGAGGGCTCAAGGGGACGTGGGAGGGACGAAAGGAGAGGGGGGAGGGAGGGGGGGGTCCAGTCTCCCCTGGCCGAGCACTTTTTTTGGGAAGTCCTAGGACCGATCTCCAGGACCTGGACTCTTCTCCCAGCCCCTAGAGTCCCGCTCAAAGGTAGGGGGAGTCACGCTGCCGCGGGAGGAAGGGGAGTTTCAGATGGAGAGGATGGTGGCGGGACCACGGAAAAGGGGTGATGCAGGATGGGGTCGAGGGGAAACCAACCAACAGAGGGTTCTATCATTGTTTAAAAAGAGAGAGAGAGAGAGAAGAAGAGTGGAGAGAGGCAGATATTTGGCGGGTAGAAGGCTGCAGGGTGTTCCAAATAGGGCAGCTGCCGGCCCTAGGGCTGGAGGCTCCTCTATGAGGCCCTACCCCTGGGCCCCCAAGCCAAAATGTCCCCAGAACAAAGCTGTCCTGTTGTGTTGTTTGTCTGAGTTGGGGAAAGCATGTTCAGGGGGCCCCTTGCTGGAGAGGGGCTATTCTCAGTCCCAGACAGAGGAAAGGCCTTGGCTGAGGAGCTGATTGGTGCCCTGGCCTCTGGTTGCCCGGTGACAGCGATGGCAGTGTTGGCAGGAGGTTTGGACAACCCTACCCCATTACCCCTCCCAGCTTGAGGCCTGGCCCTCCTGGGCCCCTTGACCCCGCAGGGCATGTGAGAGCCCGCATGGATAGGGTGTGCAGGGGGCTCTCCGTGAACCCTGGGCTCTGCCATGGAATCTGCCCAGACTGGACTCTGGGCTTGGCTGCCAATCAGGGAACCTAAGGTCTGAGGGGCTCCTAAGCCCCCTCACCTGCTTCTCTCCACAATCAGTAGCTATCTGTCCTCTGGCTGAATGGAATCTCTGGATCCCTGCCGTCACCCCTCCTTGGCTCTTGCCAGGCCCTCTCCTTACCTGTTGCTTGCATCTCTCTGTTGCTCTGTGTGCTGCCTCTCTCACGGTCACCTTCTATCTATCTTCCACATTGTCTCTCTCTACGGTCTCTTTCTGTTTAATCCCCTTTCTTTCCCACAGTTTTCCTTCCTCTCACTTCCTGTCTGGGTGTTCCTCTTGCTCAGTCTCTATCTCTTCCTCTCAACCATTCTCTGCCTCTTGGTCTCTAATCGCTGTCTTTTGATCTATGGGTCTCTTAGACCAGTGGGTGGGGATAATGGAGGTGATGACGACAGCTAGGGAAGGGCCTTTTGGGACAGAACAACTGATGCTGAGGGAGAACCTCTCTATCTCTGTGTCTCTGTCTCTCTTCCTCTCACTGCCCCCTCCCTGGTCGGTGTCTCTCGGACTCTGTTTCTGCTCTTACTGAATTTGTGTTTCTCACTTAGTCCCTGGGTCCCTGTATTTCTCTCACACGGTCTCTGTCTCTGTCCTTCACTGTCTCTCTTCCTCTCCTGACCTTTCTCTGGGATGCAGGCTTGGCTTGGTCTTGGTTTGTCTTACACACTCTCTCTCTGGGGCACCCAGGCCTTCCCTGCCATGCGACCTGTCAGTATCCGGCAGTGGAGCCCATGGGGGCTGCTGCTGTGCCTGCTGTGCTGCTCCTGCCTGGGAGCTCCATCCCCATCCACGGCCCCCGAGAAGAGGCCTGGGAGCCAGGGGCTGCGGTTCCGGCTGGCTGGCTTCCCCCGGAAGCCCTTTGAGGGCCGCGTGGAGATCCAGCAAGCTGGCGAGTGGGGCACCATCTGCGATGACGACTTCACCCTGCAGGCTGCCCATGTCCTCTGCCGGGAGCTGGGCTTCACAGAGGCCACGGGCTGGACCCACAGTGCCAAATACGGCCCTGGAACAGGTGAGCAAGGCTCCATGTGTGGCCGAAGTATTGCCTTCATGCAGGGAGAGAGAACACCAGGGAAGGCGTGGGAAGCTAGGACACCAGAAACAGCCAGTGTCAAGTACACCCATGGTTGACAGTCACTTCTCAGGCCTGTGTGACCTTAGGCTGCTCAGTGCCTTCTCTGAACTTCAGATACCCTAGGTACAAAATGACTAGGTGATCACTAAATTCTTTTCTTTTGCCTATGTATGATTCCACAAAGACACATGCTAGGACACAGCTACAGGTAAGTCCTGTACAAGTAAAGTACAGTTGGTTTGATGGAAAGCTGAGAGCAGATAAATGGTGTCTAGATGTCCCAAACAGAAGGGATCACAGATACTGCAGCTGACAAAATCAAATTATAGGCAAGAGCTGAAACCAGCAAGCTGGAACTGACTAAGAACAAGGTGTAAACTCTTACCACATGAAGTGGGGTGGGGGGATTATAGGAGGAATTCTGAGACCTGAAGATGCTTCCATTGTATGAGCCCACAGTAGGATTGATGGGCAGAAGCCCAGGCAGTCTGCAGCACATCCCCCACTTCCCACTGGCTGGACAACTTCTGGAATAAAGTGTCCCTTGTAGATGCCACATTTAAGAGAGACAGTAGAAAACGGAAATGCTTTCAGAGGAGAGCTGCCCAGATGTGAAAGATTGGAAGCCAAGTTTCAAGAGGGAATAGCTGAAGGAACTAGGGGTGTTTGATATGAAAAGAAAAAGCTTTGGAGAGCACTTACTTGAAGGTTGTCTTCAAATATGAAGACAGTCATTTGGCTGAGGGGGTTTTCTGAATGGCCTCAAAGGTCTGAATCAGACCTGGTGGGGGGAAATCATAGTCACGAGAACTCTGTGATGGTTCCAGTGGCCTGGTGGAACAGGAAGTAGGCATCCCAGCAGAAACTGGGTAAGTCCTGTCAGGACATGCATGATGGGTCCTTGCCATTGGCTGTGACAGACAAGTCACATTGGTTGGAGTCCCATGTGGTTTGGGTCCATCCAACTCTGAGAAGTCAGATATTCATTTCAATGTGGTCCAGGCAGAAAGAAAAGGGGCAATGTGGCAGTACAGGCAGGGTAGGCCCATGGGAGAAAGCGAGGCTGAGGTGAAAAGATCTTAGATTTCCAAGTTTCACAAATGCCTTAAACCCCTAAGTCCCCATGTGTTGGCTGCGTGGTCTTAGGCAAGTTACTTAACTTCTCTGAACTCCAGTTTATGTAAAATGGGAGCAGCTCTAAGAATAATCATGTGTATGCATACATGGCAGAGTGCCTAACACTCAACAGGTGCTTGATTAATTATAGCTATCACTGAATAGGTCAGGATTGATTAGAAATTCAGTGTTGAGTCTCAATTTTTTATTCACCGTACCAACTTCTCGAGTATCCCTGAGATCACCACTGGCCCTCCATCAATCCCGTGCTCCCTTTCCTCCCAGGGTGTCCTGTCTCTTGCACACCCATTATCTTAGCTGAAAAATGGGATCATCTTGGCCAAACGTGAGGCCTGTATGCTCACTCTCCCCAACATCCCCAACCCCTCCCCGCCCCCATCCTGCCTCCACAAGTCTCTCTCTCCCCCATCTCTCTCTCTCCACAGGCCGCATCTGGCTGGACAACCTGAGCTGCAGTGGGACTGAGCAGAGTGTGACTGAATGTGCCTCCCGGGGCTGGGGGAACAGTGACTGCACCCACGATGAGGATGCAGGAGTCATCTGCAAGGACCAGCGCCTCCCTGGCTTCTCAGATTCTAATGTCATTGAGGTCTGCCATTCATATGCACGCACATACAACATACACATCCCGCCCAGGATGGCCAGGGTGGTTTATGTCGGTAGAGGGGATACTAGAGGGTAGGGGATCCCATATGCCTCACAAGCTAATTTGGGTTAGTGGGAAGCTTAGCAGGGTGTGGACAAAGAATAGAGCTAGACATATTAAAGCCCAGGTTTGTTTTAGCATTGGCATTCACATCACTAAGCCTGGCATGAGCCTCTCCAGCTTCATCCCTGGTCCCCAGGGCATCCATTGCTCTCCTTCCCTTCAGATGTTCCTGCTCTCTGGGAACATCTCCCTTCCTAATCTCTCCTACTGCTTCCACGCCACTTCTTCTGAGAATTGCTCCCCCATGCTGGGGCCGACTTGGGCACTCCTTCCTCAGCTTCCTCAGCACCCTCAATCGCTTCTCAGAGCAGGTGCCCTTCCACTCTTGGGGTCCAGGAGAGTCAGTTCACTGCAGAGAGCAGGCATGCCTCTCAGCCCTGTGCCAGCGCCTACTCACCACGGGCTTTAAAGCAAGCACACTGATCAGGGGTCTGTGAGGGCGAGAGGACATGGGAAAGGCGCTACTGAGACTCCTTCCTCTGCTTGTGGTCCTATTCCAGGTAGAACAGCACCTGCAAGTGGAGGAGGTCCGACTTCGACCGGCCGTGGGGCGGGGCAGGCGGCCCCTGCCAGTGACC